CATGGCAATTAGATCTGACTCAGAGTGGAATGGACTGTTTTGGGACATACTGGAGTCCCAAAAACCAGAAGTTTTCAGGCAGAGGGTGCCTCTGGGATCCAGCAGAGGGGACTTCTTTCAGGTATATATGGGACTACATGGCCTCTGAGGTACCTTCCAATTAATATACCAAGACTTCACATTAAAAAAATGATGATGATTCTGTTAAGCATTCCTCATGTGTCACTGGGTCACAGACCAGGAACTATTTTTTTTACCGTGTGGAAGTCTATGTATATTATGGGCTAAATACAAAGAAATCTTCTCATGAAAGCTAACTTTGCAAACCCATATCGTTACTACTATTATGAGCATATCATTACCAAATAAGGATTACTGTGTTGGAGAGACCCTGGGTTTAATTCGGTATGGCAAATATTATAATTCCAGGACAAAATGAAACAAAAACAAGCCACAGAACTTCTGAATCTCATAGAAAATTTGAGAGAAAAAAAAATTTATATATTTGGATTTTATATATCACATATTTATTAAAAAATTTTATTTCAGTATAGAAAAGAACAACTTTAGGATCACAGACGATAGTATTTTAATTTTGGAACAAGTATTTTAGTTTATCTAGTCTAAAGCTCCTCATTTTCTTTATAAGAAAGCTGAAGGCTATGGAGTTGTGACTCACTTAAGGGCATAGCAAGTAAATAAGAGCTCAAAGACTTGAACCTAGGTCCTCTGATCCCAGATTCAGTGTTACTTCCACTGTAACTCATTAACTCTAGCCAACAGCTAGTTACAGTTAACATTGCAACTCTTAGACAAAAAAGTGCAGTCATCAAAACCTACAATGTACTACATAACACAGGAATAGACAAAATGAACTCACAAGTTCTTCTATCATAAACACATAAAACTAACACCTGTACAGAACAGACAAAGTGACTTCTTTCTGAACTGGAACTGTGGGCATGCTGATTCTTGACCTCAGACTAGTCAGGCATATTTTCACTCAGAGCAGGTTTCCCATGTCCTCACTTTTCCACTAGAAAAAGACTTTATTTTTTTCTTTACTGTCAAGAGTTAAAAACACTAAACTTAGTCTAAACCTGAGTATACCTTAAGACGTCACGCAGACACAAAGAAAATAAACATTAATTTGAACACCATATTCAAATACAATTGCAATAAACCTCACATACATCTATACCACAATCCAAAACTATGAGATATCTATGACTATGCATCAATTTTAATATTAAGAATGCCTCTAAGATCTGATTTTTAAATTTGTAATCCTCATGACTCTTAAGTTACAAGTAGAAATGAAACCAATAATGAAATAGGTTAAACTTAATTTGCAACTAAAACACCAAGAAACAAATGCCAATAAAGAAAAGAATAAAGAAAACTTTAGTCATCATTCAACTACCACCTTATAGGGAAAAGTCACTTTTAGAAATTAATAATGTGCCATGTCCTAAAAGTTAGTAAAAGCACATAATCCAAGTCAGGGTGCATGAGGAATTCTTCTGCTTTATTTCTAATACTAGAATTTGAGAACTCTTAGAGGAAACACACCAGCTGAACCAAGTGCTCTGAAAGGCAATGAGGAAGGATGACATCTCTAAGAAGGCCAGGCCCTAAATAAGATCAATTGGAAAAAAATGTGGAACATCAGCAGAGCATACTTTAGAGGAAGTAGAAAGTGGTACAATTAAACACACTTCTGACTCATGATGGAAAATGCTATCCACCTCCAAAGAAAGAACTGATGGAGTCTAAATGGAGATCAAAGCATACTATTTTCACTTTATTTTTTTCGTGGTTTTTTCCCTTCGCAAACCATAATTTTTTTGCAAACCGTTTCTTCTTCCACAACATGACTAATATGGAAATGTGTTTTACATGATTGCACATATATGACCTATATTAGTTGCTAACAATCTCAGAGACAGGGGAGGGAAGAGAGAAAGGAAGAAAACTTGGAACTCAAAATTTTATTAAAATTGAATGTCAAAAATCATCTTTACATGTAATTGGAAAAAATAAAATATGATTTAAGTAATGTGTATGCGTGTGTTTGTGGAGTACTGAAAACTTACAGTTCTCAGCCTGAGATCCAGGAATAACACAACACATAATACCTCCAAACAAGTAACAGAAAGACCATTCCAAACCATCTCTCCAGATGTACACAGGATCACACACAAGCTAGCAGCAGCCACTTATAAAGGCACAGAAAGCTTAGAATACTATATTCCAGAGGGCAAAAGATACATAGGCTTATAGCCAAGAACACCCTACCCAGCAAAACTGAGTATAATCATACAAAGGGAAAATTGGACCTTTAATTAGAAGACTTCCAATCCTTCCTAATGAAAAGTGCAGAGCTGTGTAGACATAGGAGGGAAGAAAAACATAAAAAGCTCAACATGAATACTCCATCATAAGGGACTAAGCAAAGAAAAACTGCTAACATTAAAATTATGGGGATATGATTCATGTGTTCTCTCTGAAAAAACCTAGGAATGGTTGTTATATGTTTGTGATCACAGAAGAATGGGAAGAGAGGAGAAAAGTAATATACTAGGGGAAGAAGGGAAAGGAAGCTTAGGGAAAATTATCCCATGTAATCTCAGTGCACAAGTAGATATTTATACAGACAAGGAGGAGGAGGATGTGGGGACAGGAGCAGCTGACACTTGAACCTCACTCTTATTTGACCTGGCCAAAGGAAGAAAGAACACACACACACACACACACACACACACACACACACACACGATTTTAGAAATGATGAAGGGCATAGTTTCAGAGAAACCTGGGAAGACTTGGGTGAACTGATGCAGAATACAGTGAACAGAACCAGGAGAACAATTTATACAATGAAAAAAACATGACAAACAACTTTAAAAGAATTAGGTACTATGATCAGTGTAATGACAAACCATGATTCCAGAGGATTTATGATGAAGCAAGCTATCCACCTCATAATGGAGTGGTGAATGACTCAGAGGGCAGAAGAGACATAATTTTTAGAATATGACCAATGCAAAAATTTGTTTTTTGTACGTTTGTAATATGTGTTTGGTTTTCTTTCATTCTCAATTTGTGAGGAAGAATTGGAGAAGTTGGAGGAAGAAGAGAGATAAAGTGGATTTTTACTGATTAAAAATACATATACATACATATGTGCATATATTTTTTAATAAATTCCTACACAGCTCAGAAAAGTAGGAATAGAGTATTACATGTCTTTTTTTTAACTGAAGTCTGTCATGATACATAAAATTAATTACCTTAAAAATAAAGTGAACCAAGCCTTCTTCTAAAGCACAAATTAACTAAAACACTCCATTCCCCCAAATCTTTGGTGATAGAAATCTTTCTAATTTGTATTTTTCATTATTATCACTACCGTCAATTTAAAGGACACAACCCACTTTCCAATTCACATTGGATAAATCAACTGCAGTTATTTACCAGGGAATGCAGAGTATATTTCATTAGAGTGTGAATGTTTGTTGGGAATGTTGTATTGTAACAAACTAAAATATCACAAAGTTTTAAAAAGTAAAACGCATTCATCTTCCTAACTTAAGTACATAAAACATTATTTCTTTGGTAATTTAGGATCTTGTAGAACCTTAGTTAAAATTTTTAACACAATTTCCACAGCACTAAGAGATTTCTAAAGATTATCATACAGTCAACACAACCTTTCAGTGCCCCTAAGAAATTTTCTAAGAGGAAGCTGCAGAGAATTTGCTCATTTGCATTGATGAAGGAAAACTCCTCTTTGGTGTTTCTAACCCTGAAGTCACAGATTCCCTCAAAAAACATAAACCCACAAAAAAAACCCTGAAAATAGAGCATCAAAAGACCCTTTCACCTCAAAGAATCTATAACTATGACTGGTCTTACTATTGCTATAAGAAGGTATGGAAAACTTGTATTGGTTTTAGGGCATGTTCTAGAAGTTTAGTATATTTTATCCTTGTTTTTACTGAAGTTAGATTTTTTAAAAATGTATCTTATTTATGCCCTTTTTCTTTACATCACAGTCATTTTCCATCCACCCTCCAGAATGAACCCTCTTTTGTGACAAAGAAAAACAATTTTTAAAAAGAATCTGATTGAATGATCATACCTGAAAATCTATACAACATTCTATCCTAGTAGCCCTGAGCCTCATAAATTTTTCTTCTTAATTTGTCATTCAAGTAAATAAAAAAAAATTCAGTTAACTGAGGATTCCTGTTAGATGAGTTCTGGTAAGCCACATAGATTTAAGAACCTTGCTCTCATATGAACTGTACATATCTGAGTACAGTACCTTTACATTTGCCTGAAGGCAAAAATCTCCCTAATTTATTAAATTCTTTTAAAATTTCAACTTTATATAAGACAAAGAGAAAACTTGATCAGAATTTACACTGTAAAATGTTTTAATGCTTATCCAAAGCTAGAAATTATGCTTGTTGAATTAAATTAGAAGTCCAAATATTTTGAGGGCCATCTTTCTGACTCAATTTTGAAAAGTTTAAAAATGCCTCATACTCCTTGTTCCAGAAAGAAATTGATTTTATATCTCCTTTCTTCAGCTAAACATTGACTGGGGAATGCAAAAGCAATTTTTTTTCAGGTCTAGGTCAGCCCAGAGGACCAATGAGTCTCCTTCCAACTCTGAAATTCTGTGACCTTTCTTTATATGAAAATGCACCTTTTATCTGGAGTTTTCACATATTACCTATCTTTCTAGAGACAAGTAGTGATGCAGTCTATTTTATAAACTAGGGGCATACTAGTTAACTATTATATTAGATAAAGGGATTTCAGTGCTGACAGGGAACCTAAAGGGTAACTAATGTCCTCATTTTACAGAGAGAAGATTTAATGTGCCAAACACTTATTAACCTATTAGCAATATCTGTCCATTTAGAAGTTGTATGTTTCTGGACATTTGCTCAGCAAAGACTCAAGGCAAAGACAGAAGGCAAAGTTACCCAAGAGGAGTGTTCCTTCATCTGGTGTTGGTTGCTGTGAGGGCCATTGGCATGGCCCCGCCAAAAGCAGTTTTGGCAGAGCTGGTAGTTGTGGCACTGCTGGCATCTATATCGGAAACCCATCATACTCTCACACCGGCAATATGAACACTCCACAGGATGGAAGACTTGAAGAAGGGAAGTAAAAAAGGGTGGGGAGAGAAGTGGAGTAGGGGAAAGAAAAGAGAAAAACATTCTTTATTTAAGTGAATGAAATCAGAACGAAAGAGTTGAAACTAACAAAAGAAATCAATGATTGAATCTAAAATAGAACTGAAAGCCAGCTATGTTGTTCCCTGTCGTCTTTCCCCTCTAAAACACCTTTTTTTAATATTAAATGATTTAGTCAAAATAGTATTAGTACATTTGTACATAAAACATGTTAAATTTTTAAAATACATTTCAAATTATATCTTAAATGAAAACAAAATTGGGCACCCAAAAGCATCTTCATTTTTATAATAATAATTGTCATTGTTATTATACCTAGGGCAGAGGTGGGGAACCTTCAGCCTTGAGGCCACATGCAGCCTTCTAGATCTTTAAGTGTGGCCTTTTGACTGAATCCAAATTTTATAGAACAAATAAAATTTAGATTCAATCAAAAGGCTGCACTTAAGAATCTAGAAGGCTACATCTGGCCTCAAGGCGACCCTCCCTGATCTAGGGGTCTATAAAGCTAGAAATGGCCCAGGCCTCTCTAGATCTCTGAAAGTCCTTGAGTAAACAATTTCTAAAAATCAAAACATAAATCTTTAGTGGTGAATGAAGAATGGAATTTGGGAGTCAAGAGCCCCTAAGCACTAATTACTGCTTCACAAGTTAGTACCTGTGCAACTTTAGGCAAGTGACTTAATCTCTCTTTATCTCACTAATTTTCCCCACCTATAAAACAGAAGCCCCTCTTTTCTCCATAACACTTGATTGTTGGGAGCTGTCTATAGTGTAAAATACAAAATATTATTTTCAAAAGAAATCATATTCACATAGGCAGGAAAAAAAAGGCCAAAACTACTGCCGCTACTCAAATATCAAGAAATAGGGTACTTTAACTTCTCAAAGGCATGAAATTACATTTTCTGGCTTGTTCACCTTCTCTGTAAAATAATCTTAACCTACGTTTCAATCAAGAGTCTCAATTTTGTGCTTAGCTTTTAACAAAGAACACTGCATATTCAATTGTTAGCATTCAAAATTGTGAACAGAATTAAAGCTAACGTACAAAAATTAAAATGTTCCTTACTTTTCAATACTCCTTAAAAATCCACATTCATAAATTCATAACTCATAAATTCAAGTTCAGAGCCAAGGCATATTTCTGTGGTCAGGAAAATATAAGAAGCTAATTCAATTTTACGACATATGATTATATCTAACTTTGGGTGAGTGATTTATACCTGATTCTTCTACTACATTTGATGAAATTATAGATTCATAAAACGTTTTCTTTCTTTAGGCTAAAACTTAGGTCTCAGAAAGCTAGAATAACATAGAAGAGAGCAATGGAAAAGATGAAAGGAATAAATAAGATTGCACTTTTAAATTTACTGTTGCTGTCTAGGAATATCCCAACTATGACCGAGGAAAAGTGAGCAGCTCTATACAAAGGAAGATTGGGAACACCTATACTACAAGTAGTTTGCAAATGAAAATTATATTCATGACCAAAACCAAGAAAAATATTCTGCACCAACAAGTGGGCAATTACAGGGAGGTTTGGAGGGTGGGATTCTGCTGCCACTTGTTACTTTCTCCCCACATCATGGGGCACAGAAATATAGGAACAGGGCACCTTCCACAGTATAGTGCCTATTCAGTAAGATTGCTCCAGTCTAGACCTCCAGGGGTTCTAAAAGATTCATGTACTTTACTGGTGTCCCCCCTCAGCTTTCTCTCAAACTGGGATATGTTTCAGGTGCCATTAATTCATTGGGTGGTGAGTTCACATCATAATATGCAATACATACCTGCATACTAAGCTATACTTCACTATGACACAAGGTTCTGATTCAATATTTAACTGTTAATATAATTTTTTTTCCTGTTAGATCATATCTCTAAGTACACACAATGGAAGACAACAGGAAAGTACAATTTGTTATACAACCATGAGCTTTGCAAACTTTTTCAAGAATATATCTCATATGCAAATCAAAGCTGAACAGAATTATAATTCAATCTAATCTCCACATGTTTAGAATTTAGATTCTCTCTAGGAAAACTAGTTTCTAAAAGAATAGAGCAGGTGGGGGCAGCTAGGTAGTGCAGTAGATAGAGCACCAGCCCTGGAGTCAGGAGGACTTGAGTTCAAATCTGGCCTCAGACAAAATAACAGTCACTAGCTGTGCGACTCCGTGCAAGCCACTTAACCGTAATTGGCTCACCAATAAAAAAAAATAAAAAAAAAGAACAGAGCAGGTGAGGGAAATTACAAAATGTTAAGAGTTCAATACATTGTTAGTGGAGCTGTGAATTGGTCCAACCCTAGAGAAAGCAATTTTTAATTACACACAGAGTAACTAAAATATCTGTGTAATAATAATGATAACAATAACATTTACATAGTGCCTACTATGTGCCAAAGACAATGATAAGCACTTTACAAATATTATCTCACTGATTACATCCTTTAACCCAGAGCTTACAATGTTAGGCATATGTTCCAAGAAGGTTAGCAAAACAATAAAGTTCTCCCTTATACACAAAAAAATTTATAGCAGCACTATTTGTGAAAGCAAAGAACTGGAAACAAAGTAAAGGCTCATTGGTGGGTAATGGTTAAACAAATTGTAGACCATAAAAGTAATAAAATGTTATTACTAAGCTGTAAGAAATTGTTAATACAAATACTACAAAGAAATATGGAAAGTCTTCTATGAACTGCCTCAAAGTGAAGTTATCAAAAGCAGGAAAACAATACACAATGATCACAATAATGTAAATGTAAAGAACAACAACAAAATAATTGAAAGGTAGTACTATGAAATTATAATGACCAGACTTGGCCCCAAATAAGAGACATGAAAATAAATCTCCCCTCACTTCTTTGTAGAGGTGGAAGACCATTGACAGGGGACATTGTGAAACACTGCATATAACATCCAATTTTTAGCTTTGCTGAACTTTCTTCTTCTTCTTTTAAAATTCTTTATAATGTGATTTGAAGGAAGGGATACTGTGAAAAATTTATATTATTATGTAATAGATTTAGAGCTGGAAGAGACCTCTGAAAACACAAAATGTAACTCTCATTTTACAAATAAAAAGGCTGAGGAACCAAGAGATGGAGTGATTTACCCAGAGTTGCAGAGTTAATAAACTTCTGAGGTGGGATTTGAACCCTAGACTTCCTGCATTCTATTCACTACTCTGAGATCTTAAAACACTAAGAGTTAGCATGTTTTGGGAATTGTTTCACATAATAGAAAAACTTTTAAGTACTTAGATAAATGCTAATGTATTTAGTAGGCAATACATGGAATCCCTGTCTGTGGTTTCCTACCATTCTTTATCCCTAAGATTAGAGTTGTAAAAATGACTCAAGGGAATCTAAAAAAAATAATTAAGAGATATTCTAAGACATCATAAAACAAAGTGCTAAAGCTTAATAAAAATGCTGCGATTTGTTTGTGTTTACCTAGGAACACTGAAAGCAGAATGACTTGATTAAAATATTTTTCCCTGTAACTGAATTGGATATGAGACAAATGACAAATTCTGAAGACTTTAAAAGAGGTATTGCCGAGGGCAGAAATTAATAAGTTAGTACATTGTCATGAAACCAACTTAAATCTGTACAAAATATTCAAAGAGTTTAATCTGTTTAAAAGATTCAAGGATTCTAAGTTTTGAAAAGCTCATCATTTCTAGCTGCAACACTTGGGAAAGCAAAGTAATACTGTGTACAAAGCAAGCTACACCTAGCCCTAATTAAGAAGCTAAACTGTTAGTTTACTAGTTTAAGCTTTAGCACTTTGTTTTATGATGTCTTAGAATATCTCTTAATTATTTTTTTTAAATTCCCTTGAGTCATTTTTACAACTCTAATCTTAGGGATAAAGAATGGTAGGAAACCACAGGTAGGGATTCCATTTATTGCCTACTAAATACATTAGCATTTATCTAAGTACTTAAAAAGAGAGAAAAGATTTCTATCTCTCTAGTGGGAAAAAAAAAACAGAGAAGGAGGCTTCCATGTTTTTCAATGGCAAGAGGAATGGAAGTAATAGTGGGGGCAAAAAGCAAGGTAGAGAAGACAAAGGCCTTCCTTTGATTTAGGCCTAACGTCCTAGCTAAGGAAATAACTACCACTTGCTAGATCTGAGAAAAGGCATAATGGACCTTTGAGGAATAAACTCAAAGACTGAAGATAAATCGCTGGAAAAGACTTCTGATTCCAACCTAAGAATAAAAGTGATTGACAAAAGAAAAGTCAGTGACTGGTTAAAAAAAAAATTAAATATCAACAGTACCAAATTGTCCTTGAGGCACTTATATCTTTAAAAATTCTCTGCAAAGCAATTAAATGTTTGTATATTTGATTTTAAGTTCAACTGCTTTAAGGAAGAAAGGCATCCCAGACATCAAAAACAAGTGGAAAATCCATGGATAAATCAAGTGGGCTCATGAAAAAAGCCACTCCATGTAAACCCATACAAAAGTGCCTCTGTAGCCATGGTACCTGAGTACCACCTGGTGGCAATGTACCTAAAAGTTACAGATTTAGCTTGAGAAGAAAAGTCATCAAAATAGAAACCAAAAAGTTAAAATCATGAAATGACTGCAAATGTCAGTTATGATCATCAATTATAATACCTAAGACCCTATTTATATTTATTACATACAATTTTCTACAGAGTAAAGAAACATTATTAAATAGTCTACTTACCATTTTCAACATGGGCAAGTCTGTGCATGAGAGGTAGCCAGACAAGGCACTGGGGAGGAGGATCAGCCATCAATGTGTCTAAAAACATATTTAGCATTATCTTTTTCTGTAAATAGAACAGAAAACAATTTCTTTAACAGAAAAGATTTTTTTCTTTCCCAAATATCTCTCCAATACAAACTTTTAATTCAATTTAATAAACATTTACTAAAACCTACTATTTACAAGGTACTAGGCTTTTAAGATTTAAATTATTTTCTTAAATTCAAATCTTTACTACATGTGAAATTACAATAACAAAAACAAAATACCACCATGTATATGTACGTATATATTATATATGCCTATATGTATGTATGTGTATATGTGTATGTACATATGTCCATATATACACATAACCCACTTGTTTTTATAAATTATTGAAATGTATTTCCATTTGTACCCTGTAAAAATGTACTTATAGCACTGTTGGGTACATATGCTGAAAGTACAGTGATTGCTCAAATATAAGGAAATAGCCCAATGAACATGGTTGTGGAAGGGGAAAGAGGGAAAAAAACCTAGTCAGATGTAACTTGTCTCTGTTGTAATAAACATGTTAAAACAGAAAAAAGTGTGTATATCTGTATGTATATGTATCTGTGTGTGTATATATATATGTATGTGTGTGTCATTTGATCCTAACAACAATTTTATAATAAAAAGATCACACATTTTCACCTGCATTTTATAGAAGTGAAAAGTCATACAGAGGAAATGTATGCAAGTTAGTGACAGAACCAGTTACAGAACAAGTTAGAAAATATAAACTCATTATGAGTTAAAATTATTTCATTCTTTGTACCTACATCTTCAGCACCTAGAAGAATGCTTCACACATAACAGGTGCTTAATATATTGTGACCTCTCCCATTGATTGTTGATTTACTAAATTACAACACAGGCTTCCTGCCTCTAGGTCAGGGCTTTCTTTCTGTTAACCACCATGGCTTTATATCCTAGCAGTGCATGGATTGCTTTTATTACCTGAGATATAAGGAGTTTCTCTTGTTCTTCTTCATCCCACAGGCCCTGGGATTGGAGACTCTCCACCTGTCCCAGTAGTGGGAGGTAGGAGCTCTAAAAGGAGGCTGGGGACACCAGCGTGGAGCGGAAGGAAGAAACAAGGAGAAACAAACCAGGAATAAGAGATACTGGGCATCAGGGATTCTACAATTCTCTGTCAATAAATAGGTTGCCTTATGATACATCAGAAGTGATGGGAGAGGTTACAAATGTAGCGGATTGATACCCATTGGTGATTGGTTCCATGTAATGTATATATTGTATATAACTTATGCTTGATTTATAGAATGCTTCTATGCTATATTATATAACTTTGCTATATGTACATAAATTATATTTCAGCATGTGACCTAACATCTGATTACTCTATGCAACTTTGATATGACACTGTCATATTATATAAGGTCTACATGATTGGTCTACACTATCTAAATCTAATTACCTATGACTGTTATATGTTAGTTTATGAATGCGTATTGTATGTAGCTATAGACAGTCCAGAGTACCCCATGTAATTTATAGTGATTGCAAATGTTTTACATAAGGGAGAAGGTTAAGATAATCTTTAGTCAAGTTCTAGAGATCACAGTCTGCCTGTCCAAGATGACTATTCACAGGAACACTCCCTGAAAGAATTTTTTTCTTTAAAAAAAAAAAGAAATTGTTGCTATATTTGTAACATAATCTTCATTTCCGTGTGTGTGTGTGTGTGTGTGTGTGTGTGTGTGTGTAGTTGTTCGACCATTTCAGTTGTGTCTGACCTCTTTATGACTCCATTTAAGGTTCTCTTGGCAAAGATACTGGAGTGGTTTGCCATTTCTATCTACAGCTTATTTTACAGATGAGGAACACAGGCAAATAAGGTTCAGGGACTTGCCCAGGGTCATGTTGCTCATATCTGAAACCACATCTGAACTCCAGAGAATGAATCTTCCTGACTCAAAGCACCTTGCTCTATACATCGGGGTGTGTGTGTGTGTGTGTGTGTGTGTGTGTGTGTGTGTGTGTGTGTGTGTGTGTGTGTGTGTGTACTGTGTGTGTTTACCTCTACCTCCCCCCCCAGAGAGCCATGCCTCATAATAATAAAAACAAAAGACAAAAATTTAAGAGAAAAAAAAGTTCAACAAAACTGACACATCAACTGAATCTAGCAGTATATACAATGCTCCACACCCTTCATCTCCCACTTCAGCAAAGGAGGAACAGAAAAGTATTTTCTCCTCTTTTGGGGCAAGCTTGAATACTAAAATGCAAAGCATTCAGCTAACTTTTTTATTCATGTTCTCTCTACTCACACCACAGTGACATTGCACACAGTTTTCTGGTTCTACCTCACTTGGTCTTAGTTCTTATAAGTCTCCTTATATTTCTCTGGAGTCTTCATGCACACCATTTTTTACTGTGCAATAACATTCCATTAAATTCAAGTACCAAGCTTTGTTGAACATTTTCCAATAAATGTACATCTTATTTTGCATCACATTTTTTTACTACTACAAAAAGTGGCCCTACAAATATTCTGGTGCATAGGGGAACTTCTTATCTTTGATCTTCTCGGAGTTTATGCCTAGTAGAGGGACCTCTAAATCAAAGGGTATGGAGATTTTAGTCATGTTATTAGCATAATTTCAAACTGCCTAGTCGAATGGCTAGATTAACCAAAAGGTCCGATATTATAGTGTTTGTTTTTTCCCAACCTGAAGAAGGCTAGGGATACTCAGATAGATGAAAGTGAAGGAAATGGTTGTAAAGAGAGGATTATGAGTCATCCAAATGTGGTCTGCAGACACTGAGACTTTATACCTCTCCTCCAGCAATTCGATCACACATGCTTTGATGTACCAGAGGAGCTAGAGATTGCCAATAGTTCTGGAAACAAAACAGGAAGGTCAGACTAGGAAAAGAAATGTTAGAGAGAAAGTCTGCGAAGAGATGTGATGAGTAGCAATTCCAGATGTCCTATTCACTCAATAACTGTGCAAAGAGAACGATGACTAATGGCTATGGTTTGATCAAGTGAGGGTTATTTTTTTTTTAAGAATAGGGGAGACACATTTGTAGACAGCAGGAAAGGAGCCATTAAATAGGGAGAGACTAAATATAAAAGAACAGGAATGAAAGTGGAGGTAATCTGTTAGGGAAGATGAGAAGGAATGGGATCAAGGTGCCATATAGAGGGGCTGGCCTTGGCAAAGAGAAGGGCCATCTCTTCATCCAAGATCGGAGAAAAGAAAAAAATAGCTCAGGAAGATGTGTGAGTGATGTGGGAGAGGAGACCTTACAGAAAATAGCTTCAATTTTTTTTAGTGGAGTAGAGGCAAGATCCTTAGCAGAAAGGGTGGGGAAAGTAATGAGAATGGACACCTGAAGAGAAACAAAAAGCTTTGGAATAGTAGCTGAAGAGAGTGGGATAGCAAACTGATTAGGAGGACTAGAATGATTGCCTTACTAAAGCAAAGAGTCAGTTGAGATCAGATAACATAAATTTATAGTGAACCCAACTGCCATAGCTTCATGCTTTCCTTTAGCTACTGACAGCCGCATGTGAAAAGGACTGAAGGAGGTGGATGAAGAGAGTAATCCAGGGTTAGGGTTTATAAGTTGTGATAAGTGATAGTACAAGGACACAGAGGATTTAAGAGTAGAAGATAGTTGAGTTGGTTCAATGAGAAGTCAAGACAGAGAAGGGAAGAGAGTATAATTGGTAGAAGAGTAATAGGGTTGAGTTGTTTCAACAAGGGGTCAAGATGGAGAAGGGAAGACAGTCATAATGGGTAAAGGGGCAATAGTCTGGGAAAGAACTGAAGGATGGAGAGAATGGAGGTCATGGTGAGGATGCAGAACAGGGTTAGTGGTCAACAGGTATAGGTAAAAATGGAAAGATGAAAAAATACTATCAGATTAAAGAATTTGGATTTCATGAAACAGAAATGGAAAAACTCTGTAGGTGATGGCAAAATGAAGCAAATAACCATATCTGTGTGCATCTCAGGTTACACAGAAGAGGAGTTCATGGAAATTGAGCAGATGAAAGAACTTGGAATTTAAGATATTTGAGGGAGTATTAATATATATGCTGAAGCCCCCTCACTGAGGAAGGAAGGAGAACGTTGATTAGATGATAAATTTGGACAGCATGAACCCCCAAGAAGACCTTGCTAAGTGATAAGAGTCAGAAAAGGACAATGGGAAGCAAGGACAATTCCAATTCCCACCCTTCAACCAGTCAGTCAGAGGTTATGAGAGACTATAATCAGTGCTAGCAAGGGCAGAGAGGGAAGCAGTGTTAGCAGAAGGGTACTAGAGCTGCTAATCAGTCAATGCCAGTGAGAAAGGCAGAGATTTAAGGTGAAAAAAAAAGTTTGTTAAACCTGAAGCAGGCATTCAAGAGGGGAAAGTAGAAGGGGTAGGTAGATCTGGAGCAAAACATTAGGGGTGTAGGATTGAGGTCGACGGAAATAAAAGAGCAGACAGTTGGGGATTGAGTAAAACCTTAGAGGTTTGTATATCAATAGTTGGGATATACAAGGGAGTAGAAGTATGCTAACCATTGAGGAATAAGTCCAGGCAAAGTATCAATGGTTGGAGAGCAGTCCCTTGAAGGAAATATGTCTGAGATCCTCCACTGAGGCCCAGCCTTGTGGCAGATAATGATACTGTGTACTATGAAGACTCAGGAAACCAGACTCACAGCAGCCAGGAGCAGGAAATTTGGGAGCTCAGTTAGGAGGCAATGGTGTCTTGCCTGTCTTGAAGAAGGGTAGGAAGTAGAAACTATCTTGTCTTGGGACAGGCCTACACTGGAAAAAGTCCAGGAGGCCATGGAAAACAGAGGTACGAAGCAGAAGTCTTGTCCCCAGCAGGCAGCCAGACGCTTGAAATCAAATGCAAACTCCTGTGTTTGACATTTAAATAACTTTACGACCTAGGAATCAAATCTAGACTTGTGTTTCTGACATTTAAATCTCATCACAATCTTACCCATCCTTCCAGCTTTCTTACATATTAATGCCCTCCACATAATCTATGATCCAGCCACTC